TAGTTTCCCTTGCCTACTATTGTAAAATAGACACTTGAGTGGGATAGAAAGGAATGTTGGGAAACATGATTAGAGAAAACTTGTAAGCCCGTCTTAAGCCTATAACTGAATGGAATACCTAAAAGGGGTTCTAGAACTTGCTCAGTAAATAGGCTTCTTATAAAGCCTTTGCAGAGTATAGGACCTTAGGTGGAATCCTGAGTCCCATCCAGAACCAATGAGGTGGGACATTCCCACTAGCAAGGACAAGTAGACCAGCCTGGAACAGCTAGAACAACAGAAGATACATCTTCAAAGAAAGATTATCAGAAAAAAAACCAAAACAGAAATTTTAGTATGACTGGCTACTACAAGAATAAGCAAGCTATTCACCAGGAAGCCTTCAAGGCAAGCAATCAAGTTCCTTCAGAACAAACTCCCCTCTAAGACTGAAACTCAAAGGGAATGCATGAACAGGAATGTAAGCTTGCTGGCAATCACATTGCTCTATTAGTGAATGGAAGAGGGGGAAAGGCAGCACTGAAGAAATGGGCTGAGACCATTGACTCCCGTTGATCTGGAGATGAGAGGAAGGGATGATTGGTCCAAAGTGTGGTGAGATCTGGGATACTTGAGCCCCTATGGACAAGGACATAGCCACAGAGGGCTAGAGCTGAGAGTGAAGCATCCAGCTGATATGTGAGGAGAGATGCACAATATAACACCCAAACTTGCAGACAGTACCCATTTGATCTAGTCTCGATGGCTTGATAATCAGAACTCGACTAGAGGAAGATGAAAAAAAAATTTTTTTTGATAAAGGAAACAAGGGTAAATTGCTACAATTTGATGAACCTTATCTATATTCATGGAGGTAGTAACTTTAAATATCAACAGAGAGGGAAAGAGTCTTCACATCAAGTACCAACGCTATCCCCTCTGAGCACAGGGTAGTACACAAGGTGTACACAGGGTACACAGGCAACTTAGATATTGGCTAACTAAAATGAGGGGGCAATAAAGGCACAAAGTGACTAGCTTGCAAGGCTTCAAGAGGGAGTGTAGCTTAAGAAGGTGGGGGTTGGGGAGGGACAGTAAGAGTCCCCACTGAATAATTTTCATCTTGTCTAGATGGGTCTGGTGAAAAAAGATGGGGATAAGATTCATATAATTCAATAGTGAATAATCATTAATCATGACTAATTTAGACTGTCACAAATGTAAAGGTAGAAGTTTTGTAACAAAACAGTGGAGCAGTTAATCTTACAGTCTAGAAACAGAGGACCCTAGGACCATTAAGAGATAAGAGCACAAGCAGAATGTGGGACTTTATCCAGAAAAGCAGCGATGCCAGAGACAGAGATGGGGACACGGACAGAGCGAGCGGTTCAGGACTCTAGATTCATGGGAAGAGGACTAAGAGCTGGTGGCCAGGAGGCAGACTTGCAGAATGTGCCCTTTGGAGGTATAAATTATTATATATGCCTGAGTGTTTGTGTTTTTTAAAAAAGCTAAAGTGAATAGAGAGAAATACTGTTAACTAATGGTATATGTAGGAGATTATAATCATTTCAATGAAACAAGGTATATGATTTGTTGACTATAAAACTGATGATTTGCCCTGTAAACTTTTACTCAACCCACAATAAAAACCTTAAAAAAAAACAAAGCAAAACTGAAGAGGTATAGGAAGACTGTACCACAAATATATATATATATATATATATATATATATATATAGGTTTGAGAAAGAAAAAAAAAAACAAACTTACAGGTTAATTGATTTGAATTAAATTTCCCAGATGTGCACTAGCTGCATAGGCTACTATAGGCTCGGGGCCCAGAGAAATCTGGAGGAAGGGTCTGCTTCCCTCAAAACTCCTAATTACACCCACTGTTGCAACAACACTGTAAACATGTCCCTAGGAGGGAATGCAGAGAAAGCTTGGGAAGAGCAAGCCCAAGTGAATTAGTCAACCACTGGTTGTATCAGAACATTGCCAGTTATCAATTATCCAAATTGTCCTTCTGTCACTTCAGGATAACTACCTCCCCTTCCTTCCTCTGTGTAAGTATTTCAGCTTTCTGGGAAAGACTCAAGGGACAGGATGCTTTTTCCTCTTCCCTCCTCTGCTGCTGGTCCCACCTCCTGCTTAATCCCATGCATCAGGAGAGTGACAATTTTATTTTTTAACATTTTTTTATTGAAGGCAATGTTCTGGGAAGAGAACAAAAGCTTCTACAGTTTCGTTAGACCATCAAACAAACTGGCTACTTAATTGTGTCAGCTGCTGTTGAGTCGAGTCCAGTCGAGTGGGCGCCAATTTATGGCCGACACAGAATGAAACACTGCCCGGTCCTGCACCACCTTCAGGCTCACTGGTCTTCTGTTCACGTCCACTGCTGAAGCTAGTGCATATTTTGAATGCCTAGTCCTGGTGCGGCACCACAGGATAAACAATCAACCTCAAGGCAGTTCAACTTTGTCAGTTGCTCCCTGGAAATCACATACAGGGTCGCTGTGAGTTGGAACCAACTCGTCGGCAGTTCACCATCACCACCACCAGCCTAGAGGGCTATTCTTCCACTACTATACTGGACAGCATTAGGCTGTGATCTGTAGAGTCTGCACTGGCTAGTTTTTGGAAGTAAGTTACCAGGTCTTTCTTCTTAGTCTGAAAGCTAGGCTGAAACCTGGGTGAACCTGTATTTGAAACTCCACACACAGGCCAGCAACCACAGTACTACAAATTGACACGGTATGCTTGAGACAACAGAAAAGAATGGAGACAAAAAAAATTACAAATCACTGATAGTAAAATAGTTTATTTCATTTCTTATTTTTTTAAAAAGGTAGCATTTCACATATAAATTTAGACCTCAAGATTACAGTATACATTTGCCAAAAGGAACATCCCTGAAGGAGGGACAGGCTGAGAGCTCACTGAGTGAGCAGAGGGAAGCACACTCCAGGGGAGTCTGGGGGACGACCTTGCTGTAAAACTTCACAGGGGCATTTCCCTGCCCCCCTAGCCTGACACAGGGTTTCTGGCTTGTACGCAACCCCACACCCATCGCTGTGGGGGCCACAGCTTCTAGCTCCTGTCAGTGGGGGGAATCTCTAAGAATGAAAGCACAAAAATGCCAATGATCCAGATTCCCCAGTAACAATCATTTTTCTGCAGCAACAATATGACAGAGGAAGAGTTTTTATCACTCAAAATTCTTTTAAGGAGGGCTAAAGAATACAAAATTCAATCAGAAAGGAATTTATATAGTTAACTGAGCAAAAAGGAACCAAAAAAATTTTTTGAATGATTCTCTCCATATTACAAATGCCTCCGAAGTATAAGGTCTAGGGAAAAGACCCATTCCAATCTGGGATTTCCTTCCTTTCCCAAATTAAGTGTTTGGCACAATCCACAAGCGGTCATGAGGCTGACTGGCGGACACTCAGCTGGAAGCTCTCTTGTAGTGGTCCCATGACTTGGGGCTGGCTTCGTCACAGCGGACACACGATGTGTCTGAACAAGCTGCACAAACTCAGGCCTAACTACAGGGTTCACGGTTTCAGGAAAGTTCATATTAAGGGGGAAAAGGTCCACATGATACAGCTCTCTCAGAGCTGCAAGCTCTCTTCATGGAAAGTTCAGTCCACCGAGTACCCAGGGAAGGTACAAGTTAGAAAAACAACTTTGATTTCAGCATCTGAGGGCCAGGAGGGAAGACAGAGATGACGACCAAGGATATTTTTTATCCTTCGTTTCACACTACAGGGCTCCTGATGGACAGTCTGAAGAACAATCAGTGTGCTACTTAGTAACCATGGTGGCCGAAGAGTTGGCCTCTAGGCAGAAATGCAGGGGGGTAAGCAAACATACCCCAAATCCAGTTTAAAAATTACAATACTGTGCAGTGAGTGGCAAGGAATTGTATACTGCGCCTATTTCTGGCTAAAACCTGTTCCACTCTTGGCCAGCCAGAGGTGAAAGGCAGCATGAACGGAGTTGTCTGTGGCTAAGAACCAGGCACTTATTCACACGTGGCCTGGGGCAGCAGTTATGCCCAAGATCATCGCCTAATGGGGAGGCTCTGTCTCACCCAAAGTTTCAAGCTTCAAATCAAGCCAGCCTGAGCCTATTAATGCAGTAAACATGTGATCAGGACTCTCTACAAGGAACCTCTGGTTGGGTAGCAAGGTGCATGTGCCAACAGGCCACCAAGCAAACTGAAGGAAAACAGAAAGATGTAAATCACGTCAAGTAAATGAGTGCTCAAATGGAAGGTCATTTCCTGGGGGACCTCAGCGGCCTGGATGTTAAAGACAAGATGGAGGCTGGCACAGGGTCCAGAAAGAGAGCCTGGGGTGCAGTCAGTCTTCTTTACACTTATCAATCCTGGCTGTCTTCCCTCCGGCCTCTTTATCTCTAGAAAGGCTGAGCACACATTTCCCCAGAGACCACTGTAAACATTAGTCAATAGATCTCAGGTTAGAAAACACAGCTTGTTAAGGATTTAGTATTTAACATTCCAGTGCAGGCAGTATCTTAGCATCAGACATTCCCTCATTCGTGAGTACCAGTTGAGAAAACAACATATAAAAAATACTTGATAAAACTGCAGCCAAAAAGACCACTTGAGTGCCAGACAAGCTGGTTCTATCCTGCATGACCCAGGATTACCACAGGAGGCAGAACGAGTTGATGAACCAGGATTATCACAGGAGAGGCAGAACAGACGACGTACACACGTTCTCTGTAAATCTGAAGAGTTGATACCCATTGTTCCCACTTAACCCCTTTGGGCCACAGCTTGGTACAGGAGAACATTTCCACTGCTTGCATCAACCTGTGCTCTCCTTGTTTTGGATAGGACTCTCTCCAGAGGGTTCAAGAGTCTCCTTAGAGAGGAGAGAGCTTTCTCTTCTAGTCCTAACATCTGAATATTTCAAAGCACAAGAGGAGTCCACAAACATATTAGGGATGCTGCTGCCAAAGTATATCTTACTGTTAGAAGCAATGGCCTGGTACTTTTTGAGCTCCAGATATTCCGGGGTCAATTTGTGCTGTGTAGGGGCAAACAAGAGCAAAAGCATTAGGACACTTGTGCAACAGTCATCTCTCTCTTCCCCAGATCCTTTTTCTATGGCTCTTGAGATATCATTTCAACTGTGAACTGCTGCCAATGACCCTACCTCATTCACTTTGGGGTGTTGAGTATCACACTGACAAGTCTTGAAGCTCCTTGAACAAAGTCCTGTCCCAGTGCAGGAGAACCTGCTAACGTCCTAATAGTGCTAACATTTCTACAGTGATTTAGGGTCTACCACATACACTTCTCATTCCTTTTGTCTAGCTGAATCCATTGGAATTTCAGATTCAGAGGAAGGTAAACAGGTCAATGGGTGGGGGTGATAAGAGCTTCAGAGGAAGGGGCCATAATTTATTTTAGAGTTATCAAAACAAAAACTCTTACTTCTCAATGTCTAGTCCACTTTTCAATTTCCTTTTAACATCAGTGGACCAATGAATGACATTTTAATTACCTGGGTTCATAACTTTATAATCAGCCACCCTGATTCTGCTTTTCTTGACCAAATTCAGAACTAGCAAAAATCTCAAGAAATCAACTAGTCTGGCCTCTTGTTTTTACCTAAAAGCTGCTTGTTTAAACAGTTTGTGATGAGCAGTTGCTTGTCAACCACCTTCCTACAAATCTCCCTCCACCACCTGCTGCAGTGTTTTGTTTTAATCATGGTGCCACGATATAGCCAATTCAGATCTTTCTGAGTTTAATTAAAACTCATTTCCAGTGTTTCCTGGAATGTATAGATGCTCCTCCAAAAGACCATCAGAACCTGGCCTAATAATCTTCTCCTCTCCTAGAGTGTCAGTCTGTCCTCTAAACAAACGAACATTTTGTCCAAGTATTTTTTTTTTTTTTCTGCATTCTGATATCTTTGATGCCCTGGACCTCTCTTCCTCTTTGGCTGATTCATATCCTCTGGCAAAACACTAACCAAGTCTACTCACAATACCTAACCAAATTATTTCTGAAAGCATTTGAAATCCAGTTTGATATCTGAGTAACATTTTTCAAAATGGCCTAAGGTCAACTTCAATGACAGGGTCTTGAACTTGTGCCTGGCCAGCATCTCCCATTACATATTTAGAAAGCCAGTTTCAGAAACTGCAATTTCCCATGTTGCTTCATCTTGACCAAATTCCATTCTGTTGCTGCATCAAGCATGTTATTTCTAATTTATATTTGTTTTAAAAGTACTGACAACTTTCATTCTGTCTACCTACCAAGTCTAGTAATTTCTTCTGAGTACAGATCATGCTGTCCTTACAAAACTGAGTGTTAAGTCCTGTCTTCTTTCGTATATCTTGACTTGAGCTACGATAGTGTATGTTAGCAACTTCTATCTCAACACTTTCTCCATTTGACTCTATAAATAATACCCTTATAGGTCTTTAGAATACTTAGAATACTGTTTGAGGTGGAGCTACTTCTTAGTTAAATAACTCCTGTTCCCTAGGTCTATATTCTCAAGCAAATCTACCCTAGTACTTATATTGTGTTCCCATCCATTGCCCTAACTCCTTCCTCTCTAGTCAGCACACATTCCTCATGCCTGGAATTACTTTTTATATCCGATAACAAGCAGTTCTCAACTGGGAGCATTTGGAAATGTGCATGTGAAGAGGGTGAAGTTTGGCAATAAGCGACAGGTGAGCACTAATGAAATTTAATGGACAAGAGCCAGGGATACAAAATATTGTACAATGCACGAGATCGTCTTTAACCATGAAAAAGTATCTCACCTCAAAATACTAAGAATGTCTCTGATAAGAAACACTGCTCAAAGCCAACTTCTTGATGTTGTTTTTAAATGTTGCTGAGTCAGTTCCGACTCATAGAAACCCGGTATAGGGCTTCTGAGTCTGTAAATCTTTGTGAGAGCAGAAAGTCTCATCTTTCTCCTGAGGAGTGGCTTGTGGGTTTGAACCATCGACCTTGTGGTTCGCAGTCCACTGTTACAGAGCCACTGTGCTCCCAACCAACTTAGCACCTGCCAAAAAAACTCCCCCCAAAAACCTACCTTATCTGGGAAGCAATGCTAGTCATTTTAGGTGGAAACCCTCAACCTCCTTGATTACTGAGTGAATTAATGGCATATGATCTGCTTATTTATCTGTCTGTCTTTGTTGTGGGCTCCCTACTTTAAAAGGGACTATCTATAAAGTCCTCAACCTGGAGAGTGTATAGTAGGTCTTATTAAGTGATGGCTGATTCTGGAGGGTGTGACATTCACTATCCTTCCTCGACACTGGATAAAATCACTCTATTAGAGCTCCCCATAAGGGACAGCACCCCCAAAATGTACAACTAGGAAAGTGTCATGGAGAGCCAGTCACCTTGTTTGAGGTGGCATGTTTGTGTGCAGCATAAAACTCAGCATCCGCTTTCGCCTTCTCTCGAGCCAAGAATGCAGCATCTAGCAAGCAAAGAGAGTCAAGGTGTTTAAAACAAAGGACATTGTCAATTCACTCCCTCAATGGGTAAGATGTGACTCTACCAGAGGCAGGGTCCCTTTCTCCACTGCCTAGTAATTTGATTGCTTCCTTTGCTTCACAAATTGACAACAAGATGAACAGTTGTCAAATCCCAGTTCCCAGACAGCTTTGTCAAAGGGGAACAGTGTTATGGATGTAGACTCACTCTCAGCTCCTTTGCGCCCACTTCATTTCCCACAAGACGTTGCTCATTTTCTCCTCCCCTAGTGGCCCTCCTCCTGTCACCCAACTCTCCACTCAAGCTCTAGGTTTCATGAAGAACAACTGGAAGTCTAGACATGGATGTCCTGCTCTGCCTACTGTGCTAACCCAGCCCCTCAGAACAGGAGGCCACAGTACAGAAGGAAAATGGGTTCACTAGGGTCTGGTTTTTCAAGATTGCTTGTGAATTAAGAACTACATTTTAACGAGGTGAAATCAAAGAGTTTGATATCTTCTGTGAAAACTGGGGCTTCTCTCCCCTCCGCCCCCCACTCCCACAGCTAATTTTTTTGTTGTTGTTGATTGACAGCTAGGAAAAAAACTGATGGTAAGTTTTATTATCTTGTGCATTCTTTATAATTGATCACAGGTACTTCTCATACTTTGCCTAGAAATAAATGTTAACTAATGAGCCCAAATTTAAGGAAAGAAAATAAAAAGCCAAGTTATCCACAATCAAACAAAACCAAGACACAGCTACTTAATAGCAATAGATGTTGTTTTCTGTATAGACTACCAGCCACTTTCTCTAGACCAGATTGGCCTTGTTGCCCACCCCAACCCCAAGAAAGAACCCCACTCCCTGGGTATAGCAGCAGTTCAAGATAGCCACAGCCTTCTACTCTCCCTAATGTACCTTCAATTTCAGAAATGCGCTTTTCAGTTTCCTTCTCCATCACCTTCTGCTGAAATTGAATTTTTGCCACTTGTGCAATCTTCTCTGCTTCTATAATTACACAACAAAAGAAGACACATTCAAACGCATGGCTTTGCTCCTGCGGTACTCCAACTCAGCAGCACAGCCTAACATTTCATTGTGTGAGATTCTATGGGCTAATTGTTTCATGATGGTTTATCTAAGCAGACAATAAGCAACTCAAAGGAGTTTCTAGTTCAATGCACTATTTTGTCAGTACAAATTTTGTGGGAAGAGGGGATCCAAAAATAACAGTTCCAGTCCCTCATGGGGCAATATAGCTATGGTCCACAAACTAATGGGGGAAAAAAGATACTTTATGAAAGAAAGTACCACGGAACCAAAAGAGAGCAACATACATGAATGGCAGCAACGGACAATTATACCAGGTGGAAGGGGAAAGAAAGAATAAGGGAGATAAGTTAAACCAAGGAAGGCTTCCTGGAAGAAACACATATAACAGGTACAATTCTCCAGGGAGAAGAACCATCTTGAACCTAATGCTTTAATGAGATAGCTCCAAAATATAAAAAGAAAAACAAAAACACATGTGGTCCTAGTGAAAACACACCTCTCTCTGTTAGTTAACTGATAGCTCCAGAGGGCAAAATTTGGAAGAATATAGATATGAATACACAATTCTTGATCTAATGGACAAGAGAAACCTGCATCCACACTAGTGAAGACACATTCAATCTTCCCAAGGACACACAGAGTATTTATTAAAAATGACCATGCAGATATTTATGAATTCCAACAGAGACTGACTTAAGAGACCCATTTAACAGATCATTTTCTCTGACCACATGCACTAAAAACTAGAAACCAACAATAAACAGCAGCCCCTAAAATCCCTCAACCAAAAATTGAAAAATGTACAACTCATAATTCATGGGCTACAGAAAATAACAGTGGAAAAAGTTTTAAAAGAATGATAACTGAATCCCAATAAATAATCTGCATTTCAAAACTTGTGAGATATAGATAAACAGTTCTTAGAAGATATTTTATAATCTTAAATGCTTTCATTAGAAAAGACTGAAATCTAATGAATTCAGTGTCTAATTCAACAAGTTAGAAAAGAACCAGAGAGTAAACGCAAAGAACATAAAAATAAAAAGTAAATAATATAATTAAAAAGAAAGTCTCAACAGAACAAACAAAAGTCTAAAACCAGTTCTCTGAAAAGACAAATAAAACTGGGCAGACAAAGGGTCATCCAGATGCTGTAGTGCATTTAAAAATAGTAAGAGAATATTATACATGTATGTCCCCAAACTCAGAATTTTAGAAAACGGACAACTTTCTAAAAAACTATGAGGGGGCTTCTAAAAGTTGACGGAAAATTCCAATACCTTTAAATTTGATTTTTCCACAAACGTTTTGAAGCTCCCCACAGAATTAATCACTTTTTTTCAGCTGCTACTCAAAGTGACCGTGAATAAGGTTTCTGAGGCTGAATTTTCCAGCCTTTGTGGGAGCAGAAAGCCTCATCTCTGTCCCATGGAGCGGCTGGTGGGCTAAAACCACTGACCTTGTGGCTCTCAGTCCAGTGCTTATTCTATGAAGTCATCACTTTCCCATATAATTACTTAAGTGGACTTCAAAAAACAACAAATGGCTGAGTAGACCTACATCCATTAAAGAAATTTAAAAGTTCCAATCCCACTAGACAAAGATGAACTTACAAGCAAGTCCAGCAAATCTACAGAAGAGGATATAGATCATATGCAAAATGAACCAGAAAGAGAGGATGCCTGCCAACTCCTTGAGGTAAATGTAACCATGATACAAAGAAACTTGACAGTAAGAGTACAAGAAAAGAAAAATATAAATTGATCTCTCTTATTATAAAAAATAAAAGCAAAATCCTAAAGAAATTACTAGTAAACAATATACAGAAATGAATTAGGGAGAACCCAATACATCATGAGCAACTAGTTTTATCTCATGAATGCAAAGATAATTCAATAATAGAAAATCTACATCCACCTAATAAAAGTTAAAGACAGCAAACATTATTGGGATTATTTCCTTTCAAAGACAGGAATGCCAGCCATCTTTTTTATTTCCCTTCTCCTCAACACTGTATTAATAAATACTGCCTGAATCAGTAAGATATGAAGAAAAGATGTAGGATTACATAGAAAGAAAAGAACTGTCCTTACCTAAACATGATATAATTGCCCACTTGAGAGAGCCAAGAGTTTATTAGAAATAAGAGGATTCTCAGCAAGATTGCTTAAACAGAAAATCTACAAACACACTTATGTGTAAGAAATTTAAGAAGGAAATTATTCAACTTTTGGGGGAAGATATTTCTCACAAATGGAAAAATATAATAGATACATAAGACCTTTTTTCAAAGTATAAATGGAAACTATACACATGGATCTCGCCAGATGCAATACACAGGAATCAAGTTGACTACAGCTGTGGGAAGAGATCATGGAGAAACTCAGTATCATCAACTAAAACAAGGCCAGGAGGCGATTGTGGATCAGACCATCAATTGCTCAGAGTCCAGTTCAAACTGAAGCTGAAGGATATTAAAACAACTCCACGAGATTCAAAACCAGCCTTGAGTATATATTCCACCTGAATTTAAGAGATCATTTCAAGAACACATTTGATGCATTACACATTAATGACCAAAGACCAAAGAACTGTGGGATGACATAAACAGCATCATACATGAAGAAAGCAAAAGGTCATTCATTAGGTCATTAAAAAGACAGGAAGGAAAGGAAAGACCAAAATAGGTATCAGAAGAGACTCAAGCTTGTTCTTACATGTTGTTGTTGTTGTTAAGTGCCATCGAGTCGGGTCCGACCCATAGCGACCCTGTACAGGGTTTCCGAGGGTGTAAATCTTTACGGGAGTAGAAAGCCTTATCTTTCTCCCGCGGAGTGACTGGTAGTTTCGAACCGCTGACCTTAAGGTTCGCAGCCCGATTCGTAACCACTACGCTACCAGAGTTCCTTACATGTAGAGAAGTTAAAACGAAAGGGAGAAATGACGCAGTAAAAGACCTGAACAGAAAATTTCAAAGGACAGCTCAGAAAGAAAGTAAAATATTATAATGAAAGACCTGGAGCTAGAAATACAAAAGGAATAAACACACTCAATATTTTTCAAACTGAAGAAAAATTTTAAGCCTCAGCTTAAAATACTGAAGGAGTCTCTGGGCAAAATATGGAATGATGCAGAAAGCATCAAAAGAAGATGGAAAGAATAGAGTCATGGTACCAAAAATAACTGGGTAATGTTCAACCATTTCAAGATGTAGCATATAATCAAGAACTGATTGCACTGAAGGAAGCAGCCTAAGCTGTAGTGAGGGCACTGGCATAAACAAGGTTCCAGAAATAGACAGGATGCCAAGGTAAATGTTACAGCAATTTATACATCACTGGAGGCACTCACTCGTCTATGCCAAGAAATCTGGAAGACAACTACCTGGCCAACCAATTTCAAAGAAAAGTGACTGAATCAAATGCAGAAATCATCAAACAATATCATTAATATCATGTGCTGAAGAGAATTTAAAAATGGTTACAGCAATACATTGACAGGGAACTTCCAGAAATTTAAATGGATTCAGAAGAGGATATGAAACAAAGAATATCACTGCTGACATCAGATGGATCTTAACTGAATGCAAAGTATACCAGAAAGATGTTTACCTGTGTTTTATTGACTGTGCAAAGGCTTTTGATTGTGAGGATCATGACAAGCTATGCACAACATTGTGGAGAAGGAGTATTTCAGAACACTTAATTTTGCTCATGAGGAACCTGTATAAAGACTTGTTGTTGTTAAGTGCTGTCGAGTCGATTCCAACCCATAGTGACCCTGTTTAGGGTTTCGGCTGGTGAGCTTTAACTGCTGACCTTGCAGTTGAAATGATTTTGCATTCTGACGTATTAGCCCAGAGCGTCACACCAGGACTCCATGAAGCAGTTACTGGAACCAAACCAAGGAACTCTGAATGGTTTAAAATTAGGAAAGGTGTGTGCCAGGGTTGTATCCGTTCATCATATTTATTCAATGTGTATGCTGAGCAAGTAATTCATGAAGCTGGGTTATATGAAGAAGAGCTTGGCATCAGAATTGGAAAACTCATTAACAACCTATGACATGCAGATTGACACAACCTTGCTTGCTGAATGCAATGAGGACTTAAAATATTTACTGATGAAGATCCAAGACTACATTACGGATTGCACTTCACTGTAAATATAAATAAAAATCCTCACAACTAGATAACAAATAACATTGTGATAAACAGAGAAGAGACTGAAGTTGTCAAAGACTTCATTTTGCTTGGATCCACACTCAATGCTCATAGAAATAACAGTCAACAAATCAAATGACACACTGCATTAAAAGTGTTCAAGAGCTAAGAGTTCACTGTAAGGACTAAGGTGGGCCTGCCCCAAGGCATGGCATTTTCAATCACCTCACAAGATGAACAACAAAGAAGGCAAACTGTAGAAGAATTAATGCATTTGAATTATGGTGTTAGTGAAGAATACTGAGGCCACAGACTGCCAGAACACATCTGTTTTTGGAAGTTGTTTTAGAAGAAAGGATAATGATTTTGACTCTCATATTCTGGACATGCTGTCAGGAAGGAATGGTCCCTAAAGATGAACTTCATTGTTAATAAAGTGGAGGATCAACAACAAGAAAGGAAGACCCCTAATGAGATGAACTGACAGAGTGGCAACAACAACGGGCTCACACATACAAATTCTGAGGATGGCTCAAGGCTGAGCAATCATGTTCCTTCTGTTGTGCATGATGCAGTCGCACTAAGTTAGAGCTAACTTAACAGCAACGTAAGACTCAGTATCAGAAAGACATAGATTCTCTCCAAATTCATGTACATATTCAGTGCCATTCCAATCACAATCCCAAAACAATATTTTACACAATTTGAGGTCCTGATTCTAAGATTTATATGGAAGAATAAAGGACCCAGATTGTGCAATTTCAGAAATAATTAAGAACAGTTAATAGGAATAGTTAAAGAGAAACTCTCTCTACCAAGACACAGAAAGAAAACATAAAAACTACAGTCATTAAAATAAGGTAGTACTAAAGAAGGCTAGACTTTAAAAAACAAAGGAAAAAAATAGAGACCTTAGCAACAGACAAATTATATATAGCACCACGATACACAACAGATATCAGAAATAAGTAGAGGAAAAGAGTTTGAATAAGTCAATGGAATCCTTATTTCATACTAGACACTAAAATAAATTCCAGATGGATTAAAAACCTAAATATAAAAGCAAAAATTAAAAACTGTCACAATAAAAGTATTACTTTGGTGTGGGGGGGAAGACTTCTTAAAGATAAGGAAAACCTGGAAAGGAAATGGCTAATGCAATATTCACTCATCAGAATATGTATGTCAAAGATACCATAAAGTTCAAAGACAAGTCAAAAATTGGGAAACATTATCTGCAATGTATAAATCTGGGAAAAGATTAGTATTCAGAATATAAAAGAAACTACAAATCAATTTTTTAAAAAAGCAATCAAATTATGAGCTACGGGTATCAGCAGGCAATTTATATACAAAAAGGAATGCCTAGTATGCAATATTCCCTTTACGAGGGAAATTCAAACGCACATACAACACTCTCCCACCACCATCAAACTAACACATACTTAAAAGTCTACTAACTCCAAGAGTTGAAGAGGATGCAAAACTGGGAACTCAACTTATAGCAGCACAAAACTCAGACCTCAGAGAGTGCCGAAGAGAGGGTGAAATGGTAGGGCCCCATTGGAGAACAGTGTGACCACGGGCATACCCTGTGAGCTCTGCTACTTCTATTCTCGTCAACTTCAAAACAGTCTAGATTTTAGAGTAGTATTTCCCCTCAAACTAGCTATGATAAAGGACTGTTTTTTGTCTTTATATTTCAACCTGTTTAGCAACCAATATTTTATAAATGATATAACAACTTATTAAAAAAAAAAAAAAAAACTAGAAATACATTAAAAAAA